AAAAAATTTACAAAAAGTAAAACTTATAAAACTTATAAATAACAATAAATAAGTGAGATATTATTATTAGATATTAGATATAATTACATATATTACAAATATAAATTGAAGGCCTTATTAAATATTTACAAAATATTTTACAAAATAGAAAATGATCGAAAATTTTCAAACAAAATTAACGACGATAAAAATTATAATTTTCAGATAAAATAGAATTTTAACAAAATTAAAAAATGGAAAAGAATGGGAAAATAAAAATAATAAGTATTCCAACGTTATATACATTCTTACTGTATACACAATTTCGTATAAAATTTTAAATATTTGACAAAAATATTAAAATATAAAGCATAAATGAAATAAAGAATTTATTATAATAGCAATGAAATTAATTAAAAAATTAATTTAAAAACAATATATTCCGATTCCATTAATTCAATAATCGAATTTCATATAAATAAATAAATAAATGAAAAAATGGAACGATAATCTGAAATGGACTTTTTATTTTCAATTAAAAAAAAAAAATGATCCAGAAGAAAATTCTTTGAAGCAAAAATCGCAAAAATTCGTTGCTCGATCGAAAATATGATTAATCAACAATTTAATTATAACCCATAAGCGAATGATGCATTTTATTGCAAAGTTGTTACAGTAGAAAGCACCATGATTGGCTTAATAAATAAAGGAGTTGATGTGAAAAATTAAACCGAATTAAGTTTATTCATCAACTCCAAACGAACCTTACAACAAATGATAGAATTATTACTAAACAATTCAACCTGAAAATTTAATATTAATGCTTAAAAAAATCAACGATTTCTAAAAATACGATGTAAATATGTTGAAACTTTTCAAATTTTTTTAAATTTTATAAGTTTCGGAATTTTTTAAGACATCAAAAATTTGTAATTTTTTTATCTTCTTATCGTTATAAAATAATTTAAGTATCAGTATATAAATAATAATCTCATTATTCTCACTCAACATTAAGGTGAGATATTTTCTTCAAGGGCAAGGATAGAAACTGGTTCCCAGCTCTATCCATTTTTCGTTTTTAATGAAATCGCTTTCTAAATTTCTAAAAGCAACAAACCCATCGAACCTACTGCGCTAGAGTTTTCTTGGATCTTAGTTAATCATCATTTTTACCACCCCTAATATTATATATTTTTAGTACACAAATATTTCATTATTTCTAGCTTATTTTCCAGTTCACTGAACTATTTGTAAATTATAGTTTTAAGAAAAAATACTTTGCTATAAAGTTGATCTCCAGATGCAATCGAACTAACAAACGCTTCTATTTTGCCTGAATTACATTGGGCAATAATTATTCGATAAGGATCTAGAATGAAAATTTACAATCAACACAACGATATACGAACAACGTTATTTTTAATAAAAAATAAAAATATCGCTTATGCCTAGAGGCGATTAAAGCCGGTAAAATTTGAACATCTCAAAACTTTATCGCTTGATATGAAATAATGTAATATTTTGAACTTAGGAAGAGATTAATGAGTCGAAAAAAGAGGCACAACTTTACTGATATGAAATTTCTTCCCAATCCACGTTTAATACTGTTCCTTAATATCCCATGAAATCCAGTTATTGCCCAATAATATTTTTTTTAATGTTCTCTTCAATTTTTGTTCCTTAATAACTTCTGCAGGGCGGCACAACCATCTTCAGGGACTCGTTATATTTCCCTAATTAATTCTACCACAATCATTTCTCGAAAATCTATTTTAAACCTCATTTCTCCAAAATCCCTTCATTCCGTCCTTTAATCTGGCTGTGTTCCTTTGCCAAAACTTCGTATAAAACCTTAAATCACCTTATAATTTTTAAATTGTTTAAATCCTACTGTAATTGTACAATCAGTTTCTATTTTATCTTTTTTTTACAATTCACCAATATTCCATAAGAAATTCGCTATATTTCTTTCAATCATCTCATTTCCCATAGTGTTCCATTAAGATATTATCCCGCACTCCTTTTATCCTTTCTTATAAATCCTTTCATAATATTTTTGCTTTCAATTCCACCATCCCTAATACTTCACCAATTTATACTTTTAACATAATAATGCTTTTTCTCCACTAACACCTCCAACAAATATACTGGAATATATACATGTCTAATAATTTTCAATCAATCTAATAACAATCTAATAACTGAGTATTTGTTTTTGCCATATTTTTTTCTTAATTATAAACGATTATATTTATTCTATTTATGGAACAACAAATATTCATTGTATTCTATTAAATGTATATTCTATTAAACTACTCTGCAAATAATTCAAGTTTATTAAGTCCAATATTATAGAACAATAAGCTAATTCTACACTAATATTCGATTGATAACTTGTACTATAAGGTGTTATTTTCACCATTTGCAGAATCGTTTTGCTTTATGGCGAAAAATCAGAAAACAGAATGGCGTCGCCATGGATACAAGAGTAACTCTGAAGCGTGTAGCAATAGTGGAAAGTAAATGGCTTTGATGAGAATAGAAGAGGAAGAAAGGAAGTGTGACGAAGAAATAACTAATGGGAATCGATCCTTTTCCCTTCATCCTGCGATGAGGCTATTACCGTTGTACATATTACACGAAATGTTTTTGTCGATATAACTTTTGTTAGTCCTTTTACTCTGCTATCAAGGAATGGAACATATTCTTTTCATTAATAGTATTTTTTTCTAAGAGCGGCACTGGTTAAGTTCATTCTACTGGCTTGGAGGTCCTACTGGAGTTGAATTTTGCCAGGGAATCACTCTTTTCATGGCGATAGAATAAATAAATGAGTATAATCCAAGTCCATCTTTAGTAAAATATCAATGTCAGAGTTCCGAACTGAGCAAATCTCATTGAGCCAACTTACTTCCCATGGTTTCAGTCATTCACAGTGACATTGAACAGCAAATCGTAGTAGGTCCGGGGAATAAGAATATAAGCCATTCTCGATTCTCAGTGACCACTAAACCACCTGGTAATAAAAAAGAACTCTAAACATCGCAAATAAATAAAGGGACAATGTAAATAAACTGATGAATGAAACAAACCACTAGATCGTGAAGTTCGTTCAACGAAATTCATTCCGAGATTATTGAAAATTGATCGCAACTCATCAAGAAGAAAGTCCATTTTCACTGCACTCATAATACTATCCCTAATTATATTACCTGATGAAATATGCTGTTTGCAGAAATTGTAATGCAATACTGCTGGATGAATTTCAACTATCTTAAAATTCGAATAAATTTTAATTACAAAAACAATAAATTAACCGTTTGAAAAAAATAGATAGAAAAACGATGAAAAATAGAAAAAAAATCCAACACTATTCTTACTTTATCATCGAATGGATTTGTTCCAAAAGAATCGAGAATTCCCTGAGTTAAACACTGATTATTTTCATTTGTTATGTTGATTTGAGGAGTATAATTATTCGAAATTTCAGAATTGAAATTGAATAAAATAGATTGCGAACGCTGCCTGGAAACAAATAATATAAGAAAGAGGCAAATCAATCTATTTGCACAAAAAAATAGATGGTTTTGTAAATTTCCATTTCGAAGCTTTTCTCAACAACTAGTACTCAAAAAATACCTCAAAAGACTGGAATCTGGTTGTGTATCCGCTTCCAACTTACGAAATTCTCGTTGTAGTTGTGAGACGACAAGTTGCTCATTCCTCCCAAATTTTATTTGATTGTATAATTTCTCAAGATGATCCTGCGATTATAAGTGAAATATTTAAAAAATAAAAATGACGAAAATAAATCTTTTTTTTTAGAATTTTGGCTTTGTAAATGTAACGTGATATTCGTTCTTAAAATTATTGAAAAAAAAACAACAAAAAGCTTTTGTCTAAAACATTCTTATGATAAATAATAACCTTCTGTTCAGCACTGATATATAAAGAAGAATTTGAAGTCCAACTGCTTCTACGTTCACTTCCATTTTGTTTAGAATAAGGACGATGACAAAAACGTGGCGAAAACGTGGAGGCACTTTCCAATCCAGGAATGTAATGAACGGTGTTTCTTTTTCTCCAACCAAGTCGATGTAAATATCTGAATTAAACTTGAAGATAAACTCAAAAAAATTTTATTGTACCATAGACTTATTAAGAAAGAAAGAATTTTTCATACTTTTGACCCTCTTCATCCACACTGGATACAGTAGGAAGATTGTTGTCTTGAACAGATGAAGAAAAAGGACAATCCAACTGATTTGCGGATAAAAAACCATTGAAAGCAAAGTGGTCCAAAGATTTACAACCACTAGTATCAAGTATCGTTTGACCAATGCTCGCACATCTTTCCACTAAATCAACAATTCGTAAATAACAAGTGGCTTGGACTCACCATTATTTTTCACATCACTTATTACCATAAAAATGCGAAATTTCTACTATAGAAACCAAAGTCAAAAGACCAAACTATTAACGAATACAACAAAGGCGTAATTCATTTTTGAAAAAAAGGAAAATTGGCATAAATAATTTATAATTATTTGGTACAAATAATTTATAATTAATTTTAAATCGAATATTTACATGAAGACTGTGGTAATAAACGATTGTAAAATGCGACTGGCGAATTATTTATTGCTGTCAAGTTCGCTGGAATAGTATTTGCATTCGTACTTTCCACGTGATTTGTTGGAGCACCAGCAGCAATCGGCATTGCTGCATTGACGACTAACTAAACAAAACTATGTAATATTTAACAAAGAATGACTAAATAATTAACAAATCAGGTTAGAAACTGTAAAATAATTTCCAGCTCATTCATGACATTTTAAACTATTTTTAAAATACGAAAAACGAATAAAAGATTGTAAATAATTGCAAAATATGACAATTTAAGATGGTTCATATTTTTATGATTTTTTAGCTATGTTATCTGGTAAATTAAATTCAAAATACCCCGTTTTACCATTTTTATGTGCTCATAATTGAAGAAAGCTGTTGACGACGATAATAGATTATAAAAAACTAACCGGATTTAAAAAAAATAAACAAGATTCCAAAGGCGAAATATTTCCTGCATAAAGGGTATGCCGCCTATTTTCATGTCGATTTGAGCATAATGTTGGTTGTTCGATTCCAGACACGAAACCAAATTGAGCTGAGTGCCTTTGAATCCATGATCTACTTGAAGAACATGATTCATCAGTATCTGATGTATCACTTTTATCAGAATCCTACAACAAATTTAACAGCTAAAAAAATAAAGAGGGAAAATTATAGCTAAAAAAGAGAAAAATATAAACAAATATCTTACGTTTCCGGTGCTTAAACTGAGTTTAGCAAGATAATGTGCTGAAATTGTAGGCGCAGACGTTTCAGTTTCGACATTTGCTTTCCCACTAACAATTGATCCACGAGAACCACGTCTAATTTGTGGGCAATCTTTATTATCATTAATAGATTCTGCTAATTTATCGCAAAGCAATTCATATGTCGCAAAAATAGGGCCGTCAAAATTTTTTTTGACGATTTCCTGAAAACGGACTTTTCATAAAAAAATATTGAAAAAATTTTTTGAAAAGGATGAACGATATAGTGGTTTTAGAAAAAAGAAAATAAGAAAAGTTCTATATAATTTTGAATTCGATACTACTGATTAAAGATAATAGAATGGCTTCTGAATTATTACATCAATAATTTGTTCCTCAGTCCATTTTGTATGTTGCTGCATGAAAACCATCACAATTGGATTTAATTTGGAACAAAAATTTGATCCCAAATATAATTGATTTTTGCTGCTTTCATTTCTTAAAATTCCGAGCTTCTCTGGTTGATTAGCATTAAACCACCTAAAATTTCTATTCATTAATAGCTTTTAATAAAATGAAAAAATGAAATTTAGAATGGAAAATTCAAATTCAAAAATTACCTATGCTGAATTACTTGAGCAATAGTGAATCGTTTTAAAGGACTGAATACTAACATTTTTCGTATCAAATCAGCACATTCTGTAAAGATTTTAGGCTAAAAAAAATCTTTTCATGAAAAATTTGATCTAAAAAAATGCAAAAAAAAGCAAAATAATCAATAATAACGAACCAACTGAAACCCAATAAGGAATATTTAATTGACCCGCTAATACGGCACATTTCAATTTATCCAGTGAATCACTTGGAAATGGAAAACCACTCGTTACTAAGATATATAATACAACACCTAAGCTCCATATATCCGCTTTTCTACCATCGTATTTCTAGAAAAAGAAAAAACAGTCATAAATCATCATTTCATGCAAGTAATGAAATAAATTCCAAAAATCAAAAAATCCATGAACGATTCACCTTGCCTAGGAGTAATTCAGGTGCAACATATGGAGGACTACCACACCATGTTGACAAAAGCAAATTTGATTGTTGAAAATTACTAAATCCGAAATCTGAAAGAAAAATAAATAAAAGAAAAAAAAATAAAAGAAAACATTTAACAGATGATCAAATAAATAAAAATAAAACAAATGGCTGTGAAAAAAATAAAATATTTGAGAATAAAATAAAAATAAAAAACAGCCAAGAGAAAATTATTTTAAGCGTCCGAAATATTTAATATTTATATTTATTTATATTTAATATTTATATATATTTTATTATTTATATTATAAATATTTTAATATTTATATTTATTAATAATGAAAAAAATTCTTCATCCTATTTTTTAATAAAAGCGATTTGAAAAAAAAAACCTATAATTTTAATATTATTTTGAGAATCAATTAGAAGATTTTCAGCTTTTAAATCGCGATGTACGATTCCTCGTGAATGACAATATTCAACTGCACTTACTATTTGCTGAAAATATCTGCGAGCATCTGTTTCATCCAATCGTCCCTTTTCCATAAGTAATTCTTTAAAATGAAATAAATTTCTTTTTTGAAACTATTTATTAAGTAAGAAAAAAAATTTGTTAATATATAAATATTTGAAAAAAAAATTCTAAAAACTTGCCAAAAATCTCGCCACGATTTGCATACTCAGTTACTAAATAGATATAATTATCAGACCGAATTATCTGAAAAAAATTTATGAAAATTTTTATAAAAATTATCAATTATCAGCAGTTTAAAGATTTATGATGATCCATAGTATAAACTGAAGATAGGTTTATTCACGTCAAATACTAGAAACCAATCCATGGAACTTAATCATATCATTTTTCATTTAAAAGGGAATAATGCAAAAGAAAATTTCGTTCTACTCGAATGAAAAATGATAAAAAAAAAAATTCTTGAAGGCTTAAACGAGTTTAGCTCACATTCATTTCTTTTATTTTGTTCAAGAAAATATCTCTTAGAAATAAATAAATGTAAAATGAACTTTAAAACATTACAAAAAACTTTAAAAAAACTTTAATTATCAAAATTTTAATGTACAAAAAGAAAAAGCGAAAAAAAAAAGATTACTTCATATAATTTAATAATATGTGGATGCGATAAAATCTTTAAAATACTTATTTCTCGTTCCAATTTCAATAAATTTTCCTCGTCGATGAAATTTTTGTCGACTATCTTAATTGCTATCTACAAAAAATTAAACATTTCTTCCATTAAAATAATTTCATTAAAATTTCATTAAATAAAAATGATAATAATTTGCTTTGCTTGATGATTGGTCATAAATTTTTTTCATGTTTTTGCAGTTTTTTCCGAATTTTTTTATCAATTTTTTATTCGCTAATTGTTCGCTAAACGACATCGAGATCAAAGATTTTATGCAACATTTTTTCATCTAAATATGAGTATTTTTTTTGAAAAAAAAGCATTTTAAAAATTTGAAAATAATAAAAATAAAAGATAAAATAAGTTTGAGAGAAAAAAAAACTCAATAAAATTTAGAACCTCAGCATTAGCGATTCGATGCTTTGCGAGTCGAACAACAGCAAAATTACCTTTACCAATCGTTTTTCCAATTTTATATTCACCAATTCGCTAAAATTTTTATTCTAATTCATAGCAATCATTATTCTTTCATTTATTAAAAAATATAACTAAATAATAAAAATAATAAATTAATATATCGTTAGAAAAAATGCCATTAATTATTAATACAATTTTTTTCATTAAAGGGGAATTAGAATTTTTTACAAAAAAAACCAGAAAAAATCATTAAAATCATTAAATCACTTAATTTTATTTAAATTTTTTTCAAGTTATCAACAAATTGTCAGTCATTTTTTAAATCATTAAATAAATCAACTCGTTTCGAAAATTTGAAATAAAAACTTTTACAGTTTTTTTAAAATTATTTTAAATATTTATATTTTAAATATTATTAATCAAATAACATTAGACGCAAAACAAATTATAAATTATAAAACTTTGAATTATTCATTAATCATAAAAATATGAAAATGGACTACAGTAATACAAATAAAAATTAACTTAGATATAATTGATATGAAAATAGTTTTTGAGGTGATAAAGCAACTGCAAGCGTACAATACACGCATTATCTACGGAGATTTACGTGTGTATTTACGCTTAGAAGATTGAAGACTACCGTCAAAATCCGCGATCCTGTACAAGAAATACCATCGATAGTTAAATTTTTCCCATTATTTTGATGGTTATCACTTATGGATGATTCGAATAGTTTGCCAGCTGAATTCCTCTCCTCTCCTCCTCCCTTCTCCTTCTTCTCCTTCCACCACCTCCCTCCCCTCTCCCTTTCAGATTTTCAGATGCAAGACAAGTGAAATATGAATAACACATACATCGATTCGAGTTAGATCACAAGCAAATCCAAACTGAGAATGCGGGTAAATTCTGCGGCAAATTTATTGGTAATTTAATTTCATATCAGTAAAACGCGAATTAAATTTTTTTATTTCATTAAATTATTATTTTATTACACTTTTTATTATTTTTAATAATACTTCTATAATATTTTACTTTTTATTTTTAATAATTATTTTTAATTTTTTATAAAATTTATTTTTATAAATATTATTTTATTTTATTTTTTATTCTTATTTATAAATTCCATATGAATTAAATTAATAAATTAATGCATAAAACGATAAAATTAACGAATTAATTTAATTAAAAGAAAATATATGTATACGTTTGCGTTGCGTTTAAAGGCGTTTTTACGTGAAAAAAAAATCGAAATAAAAAATAAAAATCTTCTCTCACCTGTATAGTGCGACGATTATCATGATGCTTTTTATAGATCATGTGCATAATTTAGCTCGAAAATTCAGATCATTGGATCAAATGACGTAATTCGACCTAAATTATTAAATTTTACTAAAAAATTAAGAAAAAAAAGCAAGAAAAAATGTTGACGTCTTAACGCAACGAAATGAAATGAAAATAAGCGAAAAATAATAAATTGAGAAAACGCTACGCGAATCGGTACGCGTACGCAATTTAGAAAAATTTTTGAAAAAAAATAAAATATTTTAATAATAATTAATATTTTAAAAATAATTAATAAAATTAATTTTTATTAAAGTAAAAAAAAAAATTCCTTAAATTTTTTTCATCGATTTTTTACTAAAAAAATTTTTTCGGTTTAGGAAATTTTTTTTTTAAAAAAGAAAAATATTTTTATTTATTAAAGAATTTTAATATTTATTATTTTATTTTATTTGAATTTTATATTATTTACTTAGAGAAAAAAAACAAAAAATTAAAAAAATTAAAGAAAGAAAGAACATTGTTTATCTTTCATTATTTTCATTATTTGTTTGATTTTCTTTTTTTAAAGAGTCCTCACCATTACTGGTTAAGCTCGCTCCACTGGCTTATCGCATTGGACAAATATGCCAGGGAGGGAGTTCCATGGCGATAGAAATACAGGTGAGTCGCCAGTGTCATTCGGATTTTTGTACAGGTTTACTCTTGCGGGGAATCGAACTTCAGCCTCGCCGCTCCAAACTGTGCAACAACCCACTGAGCAATTCTATCCCCATTATTTGTTTGATAGGGCAAACATTTTTTTTTTATTAATATAAATTTTTTTTTGCATAAAATTAATAAAATCATAATTTTTATTAAATAATTTTATTCGCTATTTATTAGAAGTTTAGAAGTTCAGTGGAATTTAGTGATTTTGGTGTTGTTGTTAGTTCGACAGTTATGGAATGCGACGAAAGGAGGTGGCGAATTCGTCTTTTAAAAAATTCGATCCCTACTGATCATCTCCTTGCATTTTTATCATTAACAGTGATTTAGAGTGATAAGCAAAATTTGTCTGATTCGAGTCAACGTCAGCGAAGCGAGCCAAAATAAAAATTTAGTGAGCGCTTTTAATAAAAAAGAAAGAAAGAAAGCCGAGAAATTCATTCGCCGATAAGCTGGAAAAACGAAATTAAATGTTGCCTTTTCGTTTCAGGCGATTTATAAATTTAGAAATCAACAAATAAGCTTATTTTAATTTCTTATTAGTTTTGATGGAACTTTTCGGTTATCCGTTCCATCACGATTGCCTCTTAGCTTTCGGTGAAATATATAAAAGTTGGAGCGATAGGAAAAAAAATTTTCCTTTCGCTAGTGCGTGATAGAAAATAAAGATACGAAACGATGAGAGAGATGGCATCAATGATTAATGAAGATTACCGTCTGATAACGAAAGCGGAGGGGAGTGGTCGGAATAGGATTGTCGAGTGGGTATAATGCTTTCATTAGCAAGCATCAAGCATTATGAATTCGATCTACTGCTGCTTCTTGTGAATAAAGTCTGTTAATAAGAATGAAACACGGATAGTACCATGGTCTATTTTAGGTTTGCTTCATTTGCTTATCGTACCAGAAAATTGCTTGACGACAGAGGTACCACAGTATTGCCGCTCTGAAGCAGCCAATCACTGATCCATTCTATTTCTTTCTTATTTATTAATTCATGCAATGTTATATACAATTTACTCGAATTATTTATGTTAATATCTCCTTTGTTATTCGCTCATTTTGTCAAATATTTTTTGGAATATATTGGTTAATTTAAAATAAAATAAAGTTTAAAATAATTTTTATTTTTTATTTGGAAAAATGCTTTTTTTTAAGGTTTTAGAGGAAAATTTCAATGGAAAAGGAAAAAATTTTTTGTTCGATCGGATTTAATATTTATTATATTAATGGATTGGGGATAGAATGGCTTAGTGGGTTGTTGGTCAATTCGGAACGTCAATGCTGAGGTTCGATTCCCCGCAGGAGTAAACCTGTACAAAAATCCGGATGATGCTAGCGACTCACCTGTATTTCTATCGCCCACGGCATATCGCTCAATGAAACAAGCTAGTGCAGCGAGTTTAACCAGTAATGATAAGGTCTCCTTAAAAATAAGAAAAAAAATTAATGAATTAGAAAAAATTTTTTGCATTCTTATTGAAGATAAATTTCCTTCATAATTCCTTCATAATTTTTTTCTGATGAAAATAAATCCATTTTTAAAATACAAATAAAAATTGTAAAAATTTAAAAGAGAATGTGAAATTTCTCAAATTAAAGATTTATTTCATAAATAAAAAAATTATTTAAAAACTATCGAAAAAATTTCAAAAAATATTTCAAATTTTTTTTTTGCTAAATTTTAATACTAAATTTTGGTATCAAATTTTGGTATTAAATTTTTGTAAATTTTTTTGGCATTAAAAATTTATGCTAAAAATTTCTCGTTAAATTCGAAAAAATTGTTGAAATATGAAAAAGTGAATAAATATTTAAAAAGGTGACATTCGCAAAAACATTTATCAATATCGTGAATTTTCCTTTATTTTATTTCCCTAATTTTTTTTTTTAAATTTTTATAATTTTTTTTCTCAAATACAAAATTTATTTCAATTAATTTTTGAAATTTATACCATTAAAATATTTCTTTTCTAGTTAGCTAAGTTTATTTATTTTTGTTTAAATTTATTTATTTCAAAAATATATTTTTATAAAAAATGAATTCGTGAAAAAAAAATATACTAATTATGGAATTTTTTTCTTTCCAACAATTTATTTTTCTAAAAAAATATTTTTAGAAATCTGTTTTTTCTTTTTTTTTTGCGAAATTTTTCGTTAAAACTATTAAATTTACTATTATTGAAATTAGAATATTTAGACATTTTAATATTAAAATTTTGTTTAAATTTATTGCTATTGAACTTATTATTTTATTATTATTGTCACTTTTATTATTTATTATTATTGTTTACTGTCATCTGTTATGTTATTTATTATCGTTATTCTACTTTCAAGCTGTTATTATTACGATTATTATTATTATTTTTGTTACCATTATTATTACTTTTATTATTTTCTATTGTTATTAATGTCTTTATAAATTTTTTCGCAAATAAATTTTTATTAAAAAATAATTTGAATTTTAAACTAAAATTTTTTACCTATGAAAATCTTTATAGTTACAGTTTTGCGGAAGAAAAATGGTCAATCACAGAAATTTATTAAGGCATTAAGATTGCCAGAAGATTTTTTTTCTATAAATGTTTCATTGGTGTGTTACTGGTACCATTGGTAGTAAAACTTGTGTGATTCTGGAAAAGTCACCAGGTGATTTTTTTTCGAAAAAATGTCAAGTGTTTTATGGTTAAATAAAATAAACCAACGAAACCAAATCGATTTCAAAATCGTTCTCCAACTTAGAAAATATGAAATTTTGATAAATTTAATTGAAATACTAATAAAAACTTTTCATAAAACACGAATATTTACCAAAAATATTGAAATAATAAATGAAATGAAGCATTTGATTTGTGAAAAAAATTTTCTAAAAATTTCTACATTAATTGTAAATTATTTATTTAATAGAAAATAAATTCTTTTCATCAGACAAAATTTTCTTTTTTTTTTCATTTTTAATCATTCGTCTAAGTTTTTTCCATGAAAATTAATCAAATTTTATTTATTTAAAAATTTTTCTATTTATTGTTATTTCAATTAGACGAGATGCTTTCAATTTCCAATTCAATCTTTTCAATCCC